GTATCCAATTTTGGCTACGCCGCATCCCCTTCCAAGCAAAAAGATATTGTTTTTTTTTTGGGGGCCCCCTGCCCAGGTTGACATACGGGGGCAATGAACAGGCAGACACTGCGGGCGGGGGCCCAGCAGTACATGCCCTACCTTTTTCATATAGGGGGTTTTTCCTTTAGGGAAACTTTTTTTGCTGCATAGCAAACCCACCTTCACACCCTTTTGGCAACAATTTGGTCAACTCTCTTGGAAACCCAACTTGACCCAAAATTAAACCGATTATGGGTTCCTGGCCGAAATTTTTGCCCCCCCCCCATGCCGGGGGGGAGACTACTCTCCCGTCTTTCGCTTGGCCCCAATACCCCGTTTTTACTCAGGGTTTAATCTCAGGGAGGGGCCCCCTGCCCTCTCTCGAAAAATTGTCGGGTTTCCCAAATTATTTTTTTGGGCCCACATTCTATTAGCCCTGCCCCTTTATCCCCCCGACACGCAAATATACCCCAACCGTCTTCGTTTCCCGCTGCTCCCTTTTAAATTTCCCGTTCTCGCTGATGGACCCACCTTTAAACGGACACACCATTGTTTTTTTTGACAACACTAACTAACTTCACAAACTCTGAGATACCTTCCCCTTTCTACCTCAACCTCTTTTTTCCCCGTCTACCCCCACACTACCCCCCTGCCCCGCGTTTTCTGAACCCCTACTGATCATCCCTTTCCCCCCTTCACTGCCCAATACCCTCCCCTTTCCTTCCCTACCCGCAGCGCTGTATAGCCCATGGGTTAGCGCTTCTTTTTGATTAAAAATAATAATATACAAATATGTACCTGTCCCTTTAATTTATGCCTTCACTCAGGGGATCCCCCTTACATATTATAAAAGAAGTGTACAAAATTTAAATTATACATAAAACCTCTACTTACAGTTTAACCCATTCCGGGACCTTGCTTGCAACTGATTTCCCTATTTTCCCAAAAATCAATTTTCCTCTTTTAAATTATTGAAAGGGAATTAATTGGGTTCCGGTGGAATTCCGGGCATGGAAAAACTTCAAAAATTTTCCCCAAAATATCAACTCAACCCTTACTTATCTCTCAAAATTCTTGTAATTTTACATAATAGAAACATTTTAACACTAGAAGGGAATAAAATACATGTCTTTGGGTAAGGGGCTGTGGTGGTACAGCACCATTGTTTTTTGGGGTTTATGGGGCCCCACCACAGTGGCCTTTCCTGTTTCCTGACTACATGTGTAGAAAACCTAGGATAACCCAAAAAATTTCGGGCCCGAGTGATTACAAGTGCAACACTTTTTAAGGGCTTCACTTAATTGCTAAACACATTAATGCTCCCATTTAATTTGCAACCTTTGCCACGGCTGCTTAAAGTTGCCCTCCCCACTACTACCTCTTTGTTGTCACCACGGGGGGCCCTTCATGTTGCTCCCACGGCTGTTTCATGTTTTTCTGGCACTGCGCTTCATGTTTTCCACTGTTTCTTCATTTTTTCTGTCACTGCTGCCCCATGTTGTCTGTCACTGCTGCTTCATTTGCCCTGTCACTGCCCCTTTCTTTCCCTGCCACGGGTATTTTCCATAAATTCACCACTAAATGTCCGCCAAAGATACTTCAATATTTTGAGCCAATTTCAAGGTACTTTTCAAAAAACCAATTAAAATCATTTTTAAAAATTTTTTTTATAATTTTTCCATTCATCACATGAGACCAAATAAAAAAAAATAAAAACCCAAAAAACCCATACGAAAGTGTCCCGCTAAGGGGGGGGCCCAAAGCTGAAAGTGAACTCCTTTTTTATGATCT